TTTCACTCTGACACCCTAGGCTCCCAGTGTATTTCACTCTGACACCCTAGGCCCCCAGTGTATGTCACTCTGACACCCTAGGCCCCCAGTGTATGTCACTCTGACACCCTAGGCCCCCAGTGTATGTCACTCTGACACACTAGGCCCCCAGTGTATGTCACTCTGGCACACTAGGCCCCCAGTGTATGTCACTCTGGCACACTAGGCCCCCAGTGTATGTCACTCTGGCACACTAGGCCCCCAGTGTATGTCACTCTGACACACTAGGCCCCCAGTGTATGTCACTCTGACACCCTTGGCCCCCAGTGTATGTCACTCTGACACCCTAGGATCCAATGATATTCACTTTGACACCCTAGTAAAGATCCCAATGAAATGTTAGATAATACCTGAAAATCTCTCTCCTACAAAACAAAAGCTGTTTACAGGATAGTGAGCTCACCTTTTGGTCTGAACGGAAGATGTTGTAAATGAGCAAGAAAGAAATCATGAGTAGCTCTCAGAAATCGCATTGTTGGATTACTAGTGTCCTTATTCACACACAGAGCATAGATCAGCTTGTACGCCAACTCAGCAAATCTTGGAGTATTGTAAACACATGTCGGACCAGTACGACTTTCCACACCTCTGTTAACTAGGGATAATACAGCATGCAGGCAGCTCCGTGGAGAACCTAAAACACCTAAAAACACAAATACATGGTCATTACTGAATATGAAGTGTACCATACCAAAAAAAACCCCAATAAAGTCTTCAAGGTCAAGTTGAATTTGGGGCCCAAATATAATGAAACAGCCCCAATCAAATCAGTCAATCTAAGAATTTGTCCACAGATGTAAGGTGGCGAATGGCTGTATAAATATAATAGTTACTGTGGAATAATTTATTTTAGCTGGAATTAATTTTCGCTGAAAATACTTTTTGGGTGTTTTGTATGGAAGTTATTTTCACTGATTTTTTACAAGTTCAACGTAAAATATAGGAAAAAAGGTATTTTCGCTAGATTTTATTTTGACTGAATTTTTTCTTCAGCGAAAATACCGAAAATTAATTACAAGTGAAAATAAAGTATTTTACAATGCATGGTTTCCTGTAAAACGTGGAACACAGCAAACCATGTTGGCCTTATATAACAATTTTAATTTAAATCTACTTTACCTGGTTCTTGAAGATTGGACGTGCAGACTGGTTTAGTGAGTTCGTATCCAAGTAGGAAATGAGCCAAATTTGGAGCGGGATGGTCCAGCGAGTACAGTATAACATGCATGATATGTTGTCGTGCTGCATTTCTCACATCACCAGAACTCAATTCATTTTCATCTGTCAAAATAAAAATAACATTTATCGCAATCAATTTTCACAACAAAATTTGTGCATCAGTTAAAAGTTTGTCAGAATTTTTTTTAAACAATAAAAAAGAAAAATTCAATTGTCTGCTTCATTACAGAAGTGGCCTTTGTATGGTTAAACTAAGTAATATTTTAATGATTCATGATGCATTTTCAGACAGCAGCCGAACAAAGACCAACACTGACAGTTCAGAGATCTGAAAGGAAGAACTGGTATTGACTGTTGACAGTATTACCTGTATCATCTGACGTATCACAGGAAACTTCCTCGAGATCTTCTATTTCTAGACACTCAACAAAACCATGTAGTATATCACCAGCGACAACCTAGTAGAAATAAGGAACTATCAGCATAATATTGTTGTCTGAATATTTCATCGAATCCACCATCTTGTTTATTATAGTTCTGCTTTTAGCATACTCCAAGTGTACAAATCAGTACTCGGCAATCTCGAAGATCAATGTTACACAGCTGTTCTGGCTTCAATTTCTCTTATGCTTATATTTAATTCTGTGATGTCATTGGATAAAGTATGTCACATGTCGATAACTTTCTTACCTTATTGGCTGTCAGCATACCAACTAATGCTGGTTGATATACAGAAGACTGAGTCACCCAGTATAAGATCTTGATGCTTGATAATGTCAACTCAGGATTAAAACTATTGTAAGTCACATATCTGAAAGACAAGCACACACATGGGACTAGAACAATAATTCATTTCCTATACTAGCGAAAATACTCATTTTTTGCACATTTTTATCTATTTTTCTGTTCACTTCTGCCTAGTGTCCCTTGATGTTAATTATGCATGCAAGCGAATGATGTCACACGGTTTTAATAATAGGCAGAGCATTATCGATTCACTTCCTGTTTAGAGGTCAACAAAATAAAGGTCACAAATTCATTTGCTATTCTTCCGTGCTTTAAACCAGAGACTAACATTAGTAAACCTCAAAACGTATTTTTATCACTGCAGTATCGCATATTTTGCCGGTCATCGTCAAAATGAATAAATTGTGCAATGACGTGTCCACTGAATCTGTGATTGGCTGGTTGCTTTATGACCTTGCATGAGCTGTCAATCATTCTCTGTTCAGTACCGGTGGAAAACCATGTAATGTTGCGTGAGGGCATTGACAAGCATTAACATGTTCAGTGTTATATCTTGCATAAAAATTGGAAGGCATAAACTAAACATTTGCTAAAAAAATCAATGATTTAAATTTTAACTTGAATTTCTTTTTTTTTTTAGTTCAATTTCAAATACAAAGTTTCAAAGTTTGCATTGGATACCCATACTTAATCAAAAGTAACTACCATCAAACATGTATAACACATTAAAAATAAAAAATACCCCAAAATACTTTCGTATTTGCCGAATTCCACGTAATGTTTTTACACCACAACGCTATGACCTTTGTTTGTCAATTTCACACATAACACAGAATCTCACAGTAAAAGGAAAATAGGTTCCTCAGGAACTGCTCCAATTGTAATTACTTTTACAACTTACTTAGCAATATTAACAAGATGATCCGCCTTTCCAGTCCTTGTATTTATCCCCATTAATAATTTATCCATGGATGCCACCAAGATACTGGAGTTAAACTCGCGAAGAAGATCCATAAATATCTCTTGCTTCTCCAGTGTTATTTCTATCATTTTTAAGCAGAGTAGAGTGGCTTTCTGAAGACTACTTTTACCAGGGAACTCTGTATACTGGTCAAGCAGTCTTGTAGCTTCATGCACTACGAATAAAATCTTGAAAAATAGTATGGTAATGTTATTTTTTTTTTCAGAAAAATTTAGAAACTTGGGGTTAGAAATTTGGGGTGACAGAAGAACTGCGGAAAATGTATTGTCCCTTCACTTAGTTTGGTGCTAATTGTTTTCCCTTTATTAGTTTGGTGTCAGTAATTGTCGACACACTGGTGCTGTCATATTACTGATTGTCCGTCGTTGTCAACTTTACAATTTCAACTTCTTCTTCGAAACCACAAGTCACAATGTTTTCAAATTTGATATGCAAGTACCTTGGATGTTTCTTTCTCAGATTTGTTCATTTCATGTCAAAAGCTCAAATTCTCTAATTTTTGGTGGATATTTTTGTCATTTTTGGTAAAAAGTGATATTTTCAAATTCTTGTTGAAAACAGCAAGTCTGATTTCTTTGATACTATACATATTGTTCATTTTCTAATGATATCTTCTGTTCTTTAATTGAAATGTGCATTGCTAACAGCGGAGCTATCTCAGCCGAGAGACTGCTTGTTTTCCACAACTCATTGAAATATTTTTAGGTGCAGTGATTTTTTTTTCCTTTGTTGTTAATCTTTGCATAATTTTTTTCCTGTCATTTTTTCAGAGTTCCACACCTACATGTAAGTGCTAACATTTGACAGACTCACCAGTTTCAACAACGGACTATCATTCAACATATGAATTAGAAGATTATACCCCGGTGGTTTGTTGGTCAGCACCATTCCACCACCCTGTATCTCAACTTGCTGATCGATAAAGTCTTCAGCCTGTGGTCGGTAATCTCGTAACAACTTTAATAAAATTTCAAGCACATCTGCTGCCACTTGCCACTGTAAAATTGGACAGAGAATTAGAAGAATTTAGTGAGAAATACTTCCCTGTAAACAAAACAACAAAGCATGTGATTTGCATAAATGCTGCAAGTAACGAGACTCATGTAATAATGTGAACCACTTTAATTTTTGAGAAACAAATATTGGAGAATTTTGAGAGTTTATGAAAATCATGACATTTTGTAGCAGTGAACATTTGAGTGAGTTTCAGCGATCAAATCTTGAAAATTCCTAGAAGCGAAATTAAGCGGTTTACAGTAGGTTATTAAGGCAGAAGTAGCTGTATGCCATTCTTGTGTAGTGAATGGAACACAGAATACTATTTATGAATAATTGAAGTTGTGTAAAATGAATGAACAAATATTACATTATACATCTGCCACCATAACACCATAAGTTACAACGTGCCGTATTTTACAGGGTATTTTCATCCTACCATAATAGGAAATGCGAATTCCAAATATGGACTGATTACGCGCATAAACGTCCTCTAATAATAAAAACAAACATGGCTGCCACCAGGGTTTGACCAGATTCCACACAAAGAAGTTTGCCGATTCTGTTCTAAACATTTTGGATTTCGGCATTCCCATGATGTATCCTTGGAAGGAAAAGATGTATACTAATAGTATCAACTGACGGGCAGCATAGGTCAAACTGTCTGTGTGAGATGGCGTACTGTCTGAGTGCATACTTTGAGGTATCCTCGTAATAATCTCATATTATTGGTATATTGTATATATTAAGTAGAACGTACATATTCTAGGCATTCTAGGCTCACATACCTTGTCTGCAGGGTTCCTATATGCACGCGTGTTGAACTTCAGGAAAACAACATCACGCAGGAAGTCTAAATATGGATCAAATCCTGGTGCTCTAAATCCAGCACCAAGCGAAGCTGGCACTGGAATGTCTGTCAGAGTGTTCATGAAATCCAGGAATCCCAATAACATCGGAAACTCTTCATTGCGAGCTTCCACTTCATCCAGTTCTACCTGTATACCACTTGCTGTTGCTGATGATACCGTCGGCAATATCTGAAACAAGAAAGTGGAAGATTTCAGTTATTTTATTTGTCTCCAAGACTACAGATGGTTAACTTCGAACAGAGAATTAAATTTACAGCTTCTTGTTTCTGCTCACATTACTAAAAAGTACACACATGGAAAGATTCTATGCAGTATAAATAAAGCTGAAAGGCATTTTTTTTTTAATTTGTTAAGAGCCAAATTTTATTTCCAGTTGTATAGGTGCTGTTTGCATATGCGTAGCATGAACATTTTATTCAATGTGTGTTCACATTTGGTACTACAAAATGTATGAATCAGTCTTAAATGGATTGAAACTATACAGCTGTGTATCCTCCTTTTCACCACTAGTTCCCTCTTTTCATCACAAATTCACAAAATAGTTCTGTTCATAGTCTGCACTTTGCTTCAGAAGATTGGGACAAAAATAGCTAAATTTTTGAGTAAATGCCGAAAATTGACTTAAATTTGTTCTGTTGGCTCCAAAATTAGGGTTTCATTTCCAAAAATATTGAGGAATACAAGAAAAACATGCAGAAAAATTTGGGCGAGAAAGTCTGGTGGTGAAAAGGTTAATTTGTTTAACATTTCTCAATTCTGAATGTAAACAAATTTTTTTATGGGTCTTCCTCCCCCCCCCCCCCCCCAGAGTATAAGTGGACTGAACACCCATTATCCACCCCACCCACATTAAAAGACTGACCACTCCCCACCCAACCCCACCTCCACGCATAACAAGACTGAGCACTCCCCACAACCCAGCCCACCTGACCTCCCACTAGACTGAGCATTCCCTGCCCACCCTCACACATAACAAGATTGACTACTCCCCACCCAACCCCACCCCCACGCATAACAAGACTGAGCACTCCCCACAACCCAGCCCACCCGACCTCCCACTAGACTGAGCATTCCCTGCCCACCCTCACACATAACAAGATTGACTACTCCCCACCCAACCCCCATACATCACAACTCTGGCCATAGCAACATTACAAGACTGACCTGTGACACTTCTAAAGACTGCCACAGCGTTGCAGCTACTTCTGGTGATTTACCCAAGGCAGCCAGTGTATGAAGCAATTCACCTTTCAATATAGGTGGTACACTACAGCTCAGTAAACCAAATAACAACACAATAGGTAGCCAAGACTGGTTTTCACACAGAGCTATCCGGGCAGCATCATCCTGTCAAATATAAAAATAAATTGTTACAAGACAATTTTCAAAGAAAGGTATGATGTACAATGCATCTTTCTCTCAAAAAATAAATAAATATAACTTTTTAGGAGTAAAAATCTGTCAATCAGGTAAAGGTTCACGATGAAATTATTTTTCAAATTTAATGCAGGCAGGCATTTATTTATTTTATTTTAAATGGACATAAAATAAGTGCTTTGAATTAATTTTTCAATAAAAATAGAACTTTTTCCTTTTTTTAAAAATCTGACAAGAGCCCAAAATTTTGATGAGCTTTTTTTTCTAGTCCTAAGCAAGATCTTAATTTTCAAAATGATCCAAATGATGTCAAACTTGCAGGGAAAAAATCAAACTTTTAAATTCAGCTTTATTTTCTTGTCATTTTGTTGTTGTATTAGAGTAATAAACACAGTAAAATGTACATGCACCACCAAGTGATTTTATTTCATTTTATATTACATGAATTATGCAAATAAATCCCTGACCATTGAATGCGAAAGACAACTTTGTTATCTCACACAAAGTTAACCTACATAATTTTTTCTTATTTTTTCAAAAATGTTGATCAAGACTGATGGGATGGTAACTATGTCCATATTGAAAAATGGAGAAAATGTTGCGAGATTCAAGGCAAAACACAAGTTTGGTCAGATGACCTCCTATTGTTCCAAGTAACTCTCACCCACATAAATGAACCTTGACCTCAGACTGACCTGTCTCATGAACTAAACCATTAAGTTCAGAAGAGTAACCCTCAACCTCATATTGACCTGTCAAGCAGTCTCCTGCATTAATTTTGGGAATGACCCTTGACCTCTACAGACCTGTCTAGCTCGGCACCTGATGCATTGGTGAGGCAATGACTGTTGACATCATACTAACCTGCCTTGCTATCTGCTGCATTAACTTTAAAACAGTCATCAGTCCATCCAATTCTTGCGGTGTGATACCACGTGATGCGGTGTGTCTATATATATGTGTATCATGAAGGCTTGGTATCTCGTGGCGTAAATTTGTATAATATTGGTTTATTGACATAAAGAAATGATCCCAGGATACAGAGCTGATGTTACCACCTGCAAACATAAATAAAGTGTTATTAAAGGGCGGTGGTCGTCGCACTGCACATGTGCAACATTTGTGTTGATGTCCCGACAATCCAATGCGTTCTTCTAATAGAAATCCCAAGTAGGAGGTTTGACCTGGGTGCGACTTGCACTAATTGCCGCCGGTGACTTCATCAATACTAACAATTACCTAAAAATACCTAATTAAAGTTTAACAACATCTCAGTTTGTACTCGTTGATCTGCGTAACAGTCAAAGTCGCATCTTTGTTTATATGAAACCCATATATCTTGCCTATTGAGTAGCGCGATGACTACTGTCCTCTATTGAAATTAGCTATGGTCGCCTTCCACAAAATAAATTGCATAATTTTATAAAAGCCAGTTCTACACCAATTCAGATTCACGTAACTTACCAGGTATGCTATGTAAAACACACAACATAAAACTGCATTTTACTCTAGTCTAGTCTAGTATAAATAGGCCTAGAGGTATATATTAAGTGTTATAATAATAACAGACTGCTCAAATAACTCTCTCAGAAATGTTGTGAAATAATATATATAGAAACAGAAATCAACAAATAAACACGCTGCCAATAATCACAGCTATATAACAGTACACATCCGACTGACATACTGTGAGTAAATACAAAACTGTCGACTGAATGCTTCACACATATAAGTCAGTATTCACCTCTTGTTTGATATTCTTGATGTGATTTTCCATTCACTACGAGATCTTGCATAAAGCATGAAAGACGTGGATTGACTGCAGAAATCAAATCTGATTTTAAACATGAATTTATTGTTTTATAGTTCAATGTCAAGTTTCCAGACGGGAAAATGGCGATGAGCAAAATTACTTACAGCAAAATTAAAAAATTTGTTCTGCACATTATTAAGTGAGCAATATTCACACAATACTATACATTTGTCAAATGCAATGCAAAGTTTTGGCGTCAATACAATGCTATGACCTTTGTTTGTCTTGTTTGACATTCAATTTCACGCATAACGCAGGATCTTGCAGTGAGCAGAAAATGGTGTATTTGCCATGATAACAACAACTGTCTGCAGTTTAATACTTACCTGCACTAATTCCATTGGCTTTTAGTAAATTGAAGCAATGATGTGCACATTGTGGTCCATTGGCCAAACCTGTTAACATTTTGATATACGGCACATACAACGATGGTGGCAACAAATCACCAGCAATGCGTACAAACTTGTATAAACTGACCTAAAATGAGAAAAGAAAGTTCAACAAATCATAAAATGACTCAAGTGCTTGTATTATTATGAAGAAATGCTTGATGGTGCATTTCTAAAATGGCCACCGGTCCGCCATCTAGAATTAAACCATGATAGAAATACATGTGTAAATGGTGTATGCTGTATTTTGGTGTAGTTTTAACGCTAAATGGCCACCAGTCAGCCATCTAGAATCAAACTGTGTTAAGAATGTATTTCGTACAATTGCTGTATCGACAAAGTGTGAAAAAAATCAGTTCAAACATGTCAGAGGGAAGGCTTTGGAACAGCAATTTGAAAAAAAAAAAAAAAACAATGAAGCAAACTCTCCAGATCATCCCTCCCTTTCTTTCTATTGCAGAATTGACACTATCATGCATATTCTTTATTTTGTTACCCAACAAGAATCAAAATTAAGGCCTGTTCACCTGTCCCAGACAGGCAGATTTGATTTCAGCAGGGACAGGCAATTTGCCTGTTCTAGTGAGCAGATGAATACTGATATAAAATATTTACTAACTGACAAAATGGGGTATTAGTTCCAAGTTGCTAATATCCAGTAAATTGCTTTCAGAATTGTTAAGATTTATGAAATGATGATCTGCTAAGAATTAACATTTTATTTCAAATATGTCTCAATTTATCTTGCTTAGTACAGGTACAGAAACTTAAATTTTTAATTTAAACCCTTGCCGCGAGATCAAAACTGTGTTATAACCATATCATGAAAACATAGAGGTGTGGATGCTTACTTGTCTGTGTGGTGGTCTGTGATGATAATGACCTGCAAACCCAGCAATAGGACTAACACTACTCTCCCCTGGACACCAGTATTCAAATGGCAGTTGTAGTTTTAATGGATCTTTACCATACAACTCACCCAGCTGTGAATAAAGATATAATATATTAAACATCTGTTCAAGGACACCATATTATGGTGTATAGAGTATATTTGATTCACAATCAATTCATCCCGCAAGTTGATTTGTCCTAATTAATTTTCGTCTCAATATACACTTTAGTCTGATTTCCTTTGCTCAGCCTTAAGATCTTGTGTAGGGTGATGTCAATTTTGATGTGGGTGAGCAAAGAGTTGCCAATTTCTAAGTATGTATGTGTGCTAGGTCTCGTTGATTTCTATCGCGCGTTTCGCCAACCATGTTTGTTGTTCGTTGGGCGTATTGGATAAGTTAGTATTGGGTGAGCCTAACAAATTGGACAAATTTGTGGGACAAATCAATTTGGGAAGAATCAACCTGTGGTATGAATCGACGGATGTGATTTGGAACGAATCAACTGTTCACCTGCATATATATATATATATATTCTACCCTAGGTAATATTCGGAAGGTACATTTCCAGATTAGGAACATTGAGAGGAAATATTTCCAAAATCACAGATATGTTACTCTGTGAATCAAATCACATAAATGGTTCATTATGATCTTGCCCGGTCATGAATTCATACACAAAATGGTGGTTGGATCAGAAAGATGTATGATAACAAGCCTTGCATGGCACAGTCCCCGTTAGTTATCAAATCTAAGATATATAGTTTTGCTAATAGTAATATAGGTCCTATAATGTCCAATGTATGTACCAAGTTTGAAAAAAATCCATTTGTAAACAGCCGAATTATGGTTTCGTAATGCAATGAAATGCAGGATTTTTATGATTTTTTAGCACAAAAAAGGCTGCAATTCGGCCATTTTGAATCAGATTGTGAAACAAATTAATGTGCATAAGTATAATATTACATTGTATGTATGATGTATGTGTGAAGTTTAAATGTAATCAGTCCAGGAATGTCTAAGATACAGGTCAAGATGCACGCACGGACGCACACACGGATGCACGCACAGAGCTCAATTCATAAGTCCTGTTTTTGGGCTGCATTTAAACAGGGACTTACAAAGTTATTTCAACAATGAATCAAAGTATACGCTTAGACATACAAATAAACAAAGACATACCAACAACATAAAATGTTCAAAATCTCTTCTAAGATTGGCCGGTGATTCCAAGCCCTCCATAGTATGAGTCAGGACAATACGTGCTGCTTCATCACCACGGTTACGAAGCTCTTTTACCTAAAATTAAACAATAACATTGACACTAATGATAATGAAAACAAGTGGTTTTATTATAGAACATAAATACTGACGTACATTTAGTCAAATGATAAACATAAATAATTTTGAATCACACAGTATATCCTAAACCAAACAGCAAAAGGATTGTTTAATACAGGCTGTTTTACATTAATGTTGCAAGTCTAACAGTAAGTGACTGGTATACAAGAAAGAAATCAGGAAAATATCGGGAAAGGACAGAAAAATGGATGTTTCCTTTATACAAGGTCATAGATGGTAACAAGTTTGGGGAATCATGGGTAACAAGTTTGGGGAATCATGGGTAACAAGTTTGGAGGAATCATGGGTAACAAGTTTGGAGGAACCATGGGTAACAAGTTTGGAGGAACCATGGGTAACAAGTTTGGGGAACCATGGTTAACAAGTTTGGAGGAACCATGGGTAACAAGTTTAGAGGAACCATGGGCAACAAGTTTGGAGGAACCATGAGCAACAAGTTTGGAGAAACCATGGGTAACTAGTTTGGGGAACCATGGGTAACAAGTTTGGAGGAACCATGGGTAACAAGTTTGGAGGAACCATGGGTAACAAGTTTGGAGGAACCATGGGCAACAAGTTTGGAGGAACCATGGGCAACAAGTTTGGAGAAACCATGGGTAACTAGTTTGGGGAACCATGGGTAACAAGTTTGGCGGAACCATGGGTAACAAGTTTGGAGGAACCATGGGCAACAAGTTTGGAGAAACCATGGGTAACTAGTTTGGGGAACCATGGGTAACAAGTTTGAAGAACCATGGGTAACAAGTTTGGCGGAACCATGGGCAACAAGTTTGGAGGAACCATGGGCAACAAGTTTGGAGAAACCATGGGTAACTAGTTTGGGGAACCATGGGTAACAAGTTTGAAGAACCATGGGTAACAAGTTTGGGGAACCATGGGTAACAAGTTTGGGGAACCATGGGTAACAAGTTTGGAGGAACCATGGGTAATAAGTTTGGAGGAACCATGGGTAACAAGTTTGGGGAACCATGGGTAACAAGTTTGGGGAACCATGGGTAATAAGTTTGGAGGAGCCATGGGTAACAAGTTTGGGGAACCATGGTTAACAAGTTTGGGGAAACCCTGGGTAACAAGTTTGGAGGACACTGGGTAACAAGTTTGGGGAAACCCTGGGTAACAAGTTTGGAGGACACTGGGTAACAAGTTTGGGGAAACCCTGGGTAACAAGTTTAGGGAAACCCTGGGTAACAAGTTTGGAGGAACCATGGGTAACAAGTTTGGAGGAACCATGGGTAACAAGTTTGGAGGAACCATGGGTAACAAGTTTGGCGGAACCATGGATAACAAGTTTGGAGGAACCATGGGTAACAAGTTTGGAGGAACCATGAGTGACAAGTTTAGAGGAACCATGGGTAACAAGTTTGGAGGAACCATGGGTAACAAGTTTGGAGGAACCATGGGTAACAAGTTTGGAGGAACCATGGGTAACAAGTTTGGAGAAACCCTGGGTAACAAGTTTGGAGAAACCCTGGGTAACAAGTTTGGGGAAACCCTGGGTAACAAGTTTGGGGAACCATGGGTAACAAGTTTGGAGGACACTGGGTAACAAGTTTGGAGGACACTGGGTAACAAGTTTGGGGAAACCCTGGGTAACAAGTTTGGGGAAACCCTGGGTAACAAGTTTGGGGAACCATGGGACACAAGTTTGGAGGACACTGGGTAACAAGTTTGGAGGACACTGAGTCACAAGTTTGGGGAAACCCTGGGTAACAAGTTTGGAGGACACTGGGTAACAAGTTTGGAGGACACTGGGTAACAAGTTTGGGGAAACCCTGGGTAACAAGTTTGGGGAAACCCTGGGTAACAAGTTTGGGGAACCATGGGACACAAGTTTGGGGAAACCCTGGGTAACAAGTTTGGGGAACCATGGGTAACAAGTTTGGAGGACACTGGGTAACAAGTTTGGGGAAACCCTGGGTAACAAGTTTGGAGGACACTGGGTAACAAGTTTGGGGAAACCCTGGGTAACAAGTTTGGGGAACCATGGGTAACAAGTTTGGAGGACACTGGGTAACAAGTTTGGGGAAACCCTGGGTAACAAGTTTGGGAAACCATGGGTAACAAGTTTGGAGGACACTGGGTAACAAGTTTTGGGAAACCCTGGGTAACAAGTTTGGAGGAACCATGGGTAACAAGTTTGGAGGAACCATGGGTAACAAGTTTGGAGGAACCATTGGTAACAAGTTTGGGGAACCCTGGGTAACAAGTTTGGAGGAACATGGGTAACAAGTTTGGAGGAACCAAGGGTAACAAGTTTGGAGGAACCATGGGTAACAAGTTTGGAGAAACCATGGGTAACTAGTTTGGGGAACCATGGGTAACAAGTTTGAAGAACCATGGGTAACAAGTTTGGA